ATTCATCTCCGCAATTATTACAAGAGATCAGGTATATCGTACCTGAACTCATGCAATCACCGTCCCTGCCGTAAGGGCAAATTACGCAATTTGTTGTTTCACACAGACGGTCATACAGGCGGTTGCGAACTAATTGGCGACGTAGAGTAGTCGGTGGTATTTCAACTATCGCTACCGATTCCTCTAGATCTGCCCTTCTTAAGCATCGTTTTATAGCTGCGCTTACTTCATCGCTTATAAAAGGCAACATAAACGGGATTTTGTTTTGGCCAAGCGTTTCGCGTGGGCGCGTCGTTCTCCTTGTAAACTTATCTCGTGGGGTTACTATTTCGTAGCCATTGGAGGTGGCTATTTGCCGGGCCAAGTCGCGCGATTCTTCCTTTAGTTCCCTGGTAGTGCACACAGAGGTGGCTGTTCGAAACATGTTTCTCACAATCGCCCTCTTTGTGTGTGAAGGGTGGGAAGAAAGGAAATGGACAAGGATGTTCTTGTTACTTGGCTTTCGATACCACTTTGTCAGGTAACCGCTACTTGATAGGTTTATTTGGACGTCCAAAAACGGAAGCCAGTTTTCTCTCGGTTTCTCCCGGGTGAACTTTATGTACTCGGACTGCTCGTTTAATAATTCGAAGCATTTGCCCATCTCCTCCTGCGTAGAGAAGACGACAAAACAATCATCTACATATCTGCAGTAGAGTAGTGGCCGGAGATCGAGAACAGGGGCTTCTATCTTAGACATAAACACAATGGCCAGGCTTGGTACCAATCGCTGTCCCATTGCCAACCCCCTTATTTGCGCGAAATATTTCCCGGACCATCTGAAGATCGAGCAGTTTAGGCACTCCTTTAAGAGAGCCATTAGCTGCTGGATGGACAAGCCATGCATATTTATTCTTCCTTCATGTTCAACAAGAAGTTCGAAGATGGCTTGCATTGCGGAGTCATTCGATACGTTGGTGTACAGTGCGGTAACGTCGAAAGACTCCATCACGTACGCGTTATTGGGAGACGCGTTACGTAGACGTTCCAGGAACATTTGGGTGTTTGTGAGGTGGGCTGGAATGTGGTTAAGCAACTGGGTGAGTATCAGGCTTAAAAACCAGGTTATTCTATCCGTTGGCCCGTCTACACAGCTGATGATCGGTCTAACCTTAAATGATGACGGATTGGTTGACGCATGATCATCAGGTGATACCAACTTATGTGTTTTGATAAGTAGGTATAGGACGGGACATGTTGGTCTATCGATTTTAAAGTGCGAAATAACCGATGATTTTAAACCCGCAGCCTTTGCCACGCTGACCCATTGATTGTTTAGTTTTCGGTATTGACTTTTATATTCCTTTTCAGAGGATGGGCGATAGAGAGTAGCATCAGAACGCCGTCCGAAAACGCGCGGAATTTTATGTCTACTCCATCGTTAGGGTCCTGTTGTCTAAAGAACGTTTTTGGGAAAGGAGATGGTGGTAGTGTCGCCGCTTCTTGATTTTTATCTCTATTTGATGTTTCTTGCTTGGCCTGATAGCGGAGTCGATCTTGAAGCTCATAAAGGTTGCATGCTATCCTACGCAGGGTCGTTTTAGAAATGGGCTGTGATGGTGCAAAACTTGGGCCCAATTCTAATAGCGAGCGCGCATTCTCAGGTATTGTTATGCCCCCAATCACGGTGATCCTAGATTTTGATTGTGTAATTGCCGGAGAGTTCTTCGTCTTTTTGTAAGTGTTATTGAAGCGTTTGGCCTAGTAGATTGTATATCAGTATACCCTTCCAGGCTCTGAAGAAGGCGATACTGCCGAAACGTCAGCTAGCGTTGTATTGTATTGTGTTTTCTTTATGGAAGTAAATGTATGCTGTTTAAAAACCTCGCGATTGCTGAGCAGGAAAACGACACATTCATATTCCAATGCCGAGGTTAAGAGAAAGTCGAACTTGGGAAATAAGTACACAGTATTCCAGTTTTAGCGATCCAAGTCCCTGTGCACGAAACGCCTCGTCATCACCACGTCAGCGTCCGCAGGTGCTTGCTGTGCTTACAGAAGCACGATGTCAACAGAAGATTCGCTCACGTAATCGATCTGTCACACGAGATCCGATACGGCGTCATACGTTGTCCGACGTGGATGTGTTGAAGGTGAGAACTAAAGCTGTTTTGCTCGAAATTGACTCATAATTTTCCGTACCCAATAGTTTTTCACCATTACCTTCGTTCATTGTGCAAGGTTTACATAAGTAAATAGTATGAAAACTTCCTTCAACTCTGACTAGGATTCCCCCCTACTCATGCCACGACGACGGTTGTACTCAAGAGCATCTTCATAGACCGTCATCAGGTTATTTTTGGTCACTGGCAAATCAAGGTGCAATGTAATAATGGTAAATTGTTTAAATTGCTCGCTTTCGGATTAATATGTTAGTATATTTCAAAGAGCGCGTATAGAACAGCGGTTAGAGGTACCTTGCAATGCACACGGATTCGATCCCGCGCCCTCCGGGGTCGGTGAATTGGTACCAGACTTGTCTGGGAGTATAGGAGCACCGACACGATACATTGGTAGACCTCTGCGAGTTAGTGCATAGGCCAGCTATTCATTCAGTAACCTCGAAATATGTTTATCGAAGTCGAATGCATGGCGCATCCCTCAGGAATGGATCAACACCGAGAACTTCACTCTTTATCCTTTATTTGAATGTATCGCGGCGATCGTGATCAAACACTAATTCAGGAGGGTCGTCTGGAGAAATTTGCTCGCTGGTTTGGTATTCGAAAGTCCAGTCCGGACGTGAGTGCTCAACATTCTCTTGGGGAGGAGGAGAATCTACTGCGTAAACCGCTACCATGTTTCGATCCGCCAGTGATTGTCCGGACATCGCCAAACGAGCTAACACCAGCCAGCGGCGACGAGCTGTTATGAAGTGTGAGCTTCGACGTTATACTTTGGTTATCTGATTATGGTACTAATTTGTTCACTCAGCGTCTTTCTTTATCATCATCATGTTACGTGGGTGTTTCATTTTACAACAAATATCATCCTGACTTACAACATACCGCATATATGTGTAAATCTTTATACTTCAGTATTAAAGATCATAGTAGTTCCGTTACTTTTCTGCGTAACGTTGATTCCAGTCTCTTGTGAGTTGTTATGCTCGTAAGAACTAATGCTACCATTCTCATTGTCCACATAGATTCTTCAACTGATTGGTGATACTTCCATGATTGATATACCAATGTTTGCTGGCCATTGTCATTTTATTGTATATGAGATAGTAGGTAACGTGAATACCGGGTCGACTAGATTGCCTCGTAGCGTGTCGCTGTTTTCTTGCACTTACCATTTTTACAGTTTAATTGTAATCGTGTTTCTTATTATCATGTAAGCTTGTAAGCTATCATAATACCCAGAGCAGTCCAGCTGTATTCTAGGTGACATCTCAGATCCGCTTTTGCCGTTCGTCTTAACCTGTAAGTTAGTGATCTCTGTTCAAATTTAAGTTTTTGCCACTGAGGATTAGATGTGTTTGTTCTTGGTAGAGACATTTGTGAGAGTATCTCTTCCGAAGATATTAGAAACTTCGAGTCTTGTAGTTGCACTTCTGTGATTTCCATGTGCGTCTTTTGAGACAATTTTTTGTGCGGCAGTTCTGCTCGGTAAAGGGTGCGTAGCAAAGGCGTCAAAACATAAACTTCACCGCTGACATTCCTCCCCACCATCCTGGTCATCATCATTATCATCTTTGTTGTCTTCATCATCGCCACAACTGTTGTCACCGTCGTCGTCGTCGTCGTCATAATCAAGTAGTATGGTGAATGTCAAATCAACTTTAAACTATGCACATTGTAAGAATATGTAATATGATATGAACAGTGTAATATGATATATCGCCCTATATATGTATGTGTATGATTGTTGGATAATCAATAATTGTTTTCTCGTGGTGTGATTGAGCACTTCGATTTCTTTTTTTCGTTTCACTGTTTCCGAAGAGAGTACTAGGAGGTATTGCTGCAAAGATTGTGATTATGTAATATTTAGTCATTTGCACTGAGACCAGATGTTAATAAATGACTTCTTAAAAGGATCAAACATTAATATCTATTAATATCTAAGCAACAAGGTGACAAGCAAGAAATAGCTGTTTGAAAAGCTGCATAGGGTTATTACATTTTTTTATCTGACACGACCTGATGTTACAGGTATTGCGAGGACCTCTGCATTTCCTTCTTTTGATTCGAATCCAGCATCCACGAAGAGTTTCGGATTTGCGTGTGTTTTAAATGCTATTTGAGCATTTTAGACTTTACGAATATTACTGGGTTCTGTTCGAGTAGAGTTTACCTGGAATCTTTGCTGTGCTTGGGTAGTTTCGTGTCTTCACTACAAGCTGTGGCTTATCCTTATAGATTGGACGGAGTTCCTTGCAAACATCTCTGGTAACAGTCCAGTTGGATGGACTGGTCGCCCCTTAACGGGTTTGAACTGTTGACCTTGTATGGCATTCTTAGCACTGCATTCTCCGTACTCTGTGCTTAGAATTAAGCAAATAAGGAAGTAGATTGGTGTAGACATCTGCATCTGATTCTCTTTTCTGCAAAATAACGACAATTCATTCCTGGAACTTTCTCATTGCTTCTGTTCAACTTCCAGTTGCAGTCTCATTAATCATAATGTGAGTTTAGTGAGCACCAGTAAGCTCACTTTTGTAGCACCTGCACACGAAAATAGGAAATGCCGCAAGGAGCTTCACGGCTAAGGCAGTGTCCTTTTTTCTAAGTCCTCTTTTGGTGAAAAAACAATCCACGTTAAACTTACTACTCGCGCGAAGTACTGGTGCTAAACTTGGGATCTTCGCCTGGGACTTGAAGTTGGGATCGAAAGCATGGAGATCTACCTACTTAAATATTTGGGTGGCATCTCTCCATGCAGCACATTTCCTGCTGTATTTCTTCGTTCGAGATTGTTATCCGTGGTGGTGGCCCGTCTCCAACATGCTGATATCGGCCAATATCGTCTATCGTCCCGTAACTCATAAATTGTTCGCAGCGTGGAATACAGTTGGCTTATGTGACCCACAGACATCTTTTTACTCTGCCACTAATTCTTCCTACCACATTGCCAACCAAATTCATCCCTTTATCGCCCAACATGTGTGTAAGATTGAGTGTTGAAGACAAGGTATTTTTCGATCTCAGCTATTCACTTCGACTTGTCGGTTGTATTTCAGAAGAAAAGAAATCGTTCAAACGCTTTGTGAGGAATGTATGAAATTTGGGATGTGCTTGAGGTATTATATTGGTTCGTACAGCGGGGTGGTAAAATTGTAGCGTTGATCGGCTTATTTGAGGAGTAGATATTATAGGTATCAACCCAGACCTCACACTGCTTTGCATTTGGAGGATATTTGAGAAGCAAATTTTCCTCTCGTTTCATCTCTGAGCTTTAGACCACCAAATGATCGGATGGCCTTCCTAGGAGAGTCGATGATTGGTCTTTTTGCTCTGTTCAACTACTCCATGTCGCTATCCACGTTGTAGTTATAGTGAGTGTTGTCTAGGATTAAATAACGATCTATTTTAACTTACTTTCCACTTGACGTCGATTTATAACGTCCCTTATGGTTTTCTTCCGATTTGAGTCCGATCTATTCATAGTCCTGTCCTTTCTCACTTTTACGTCGCGCTCTTTGAGCTTTGTTTCTTCTCCATTGCTATCTATTGAAAAAACCACAATTTTAACGTTTGATGGGAAATAGCTATGGGTGCATGGTAGTAAGTCATTTTCTAACGTGGTGATGAACAATTTCAGCGAGCTGTTGCACGCTGTTTGAGCACTTTTCATGAAGTTTTGTTGCACGAGCTGAATATTCATCGCACAACCAGGATACGAATCAGGTGAAGCCCTGTGATTAGGTGCAATTCTCGGTCAGCGAGTGTCGTCGCGTCAATTTTTTTCGTACTCTATAAAACAACGAACACACATTAGTGACAGATTTATAGGATCCTAGCTGCAGTTTTGGTGTGGTGCACGGTACCTTGTCGGCATCGTGCTTTACCAACTTTTTAAATGCCATCCAAGGTTCCCAGGATCGACTTTCTATTAACCTCGGCATTGGAATATGAATGTGTCGTTTTCTTGTTCAGCAATCGCGAGGTTTTTAAACAGCATACATTTACTTCCATGGAGAAACACAATACAATACAACGCTAGCTGACGTTTCGGCAGTATCGCCTTCTTCAGAGCCTGGATGGGTATGCTGATATACAATCTACTAGGCCAAACGCTTCAATAGCACTTACAAAAAGACGAAAGACTCTATGGTAATTACATGATCAACAACTTCTCGAAGAACTCATCGCTTTTTATGTGACTTCCAGTGAGGAGGATTAGAACAGCTGATTATAGTCGCATGTGGTTGACGACTGCACCATCCCACATCAAAAATCGATGCGAACATACGGGATCAGGTCGCGTATGACCTCCGGGCATTCCTCCCTGCTATTCATTGCAGGGTTTTTGGCATTTATCCAAAAAGCCTCAAGAAGTTTTCGCGCTGATGTTTTGGACTCCTGTGCAAGGATATTGACTCTTACTTCAAAATCGTCTCCGCTATGCTTTTGTATCCTATGCGTTCCCAGTGGGGTGCTTCATCTTAGTTTTCGTTTGCCATCTAGGTGTTCTTTTATACGGATACACAAAGGTCTGCCCGTTTCGCCAATATATTCATCTCCGCAATTGTTACAAGAGATCAGGTATATCGTACCTAAACTCATGCAATCACCGTCCCTGCCGTAAGGGCAAATTACGCAATTTGTTGTTTCACACAGACGGTCATACAGGCGGTTGCGGACTAATTGGCGACGTAGAGTAGCCGGTGGTATTTCGACTACCGCTACCGATTCCTGTAGACTTGCCCTTCTTAAGCATCGTTTTATAGCTACGCTTACTTCATCGCTTATAAAAGGCAACATAAACGGGACTTTCTTTTGGCCAAGTGTTTCGCGTGGGCGCGTCGTTCTCCTTGTAAACTTATCTCGTGGGGTTACTATTTCGTAGCCATTGGAGATGGCTATTTGCCGAGCCAAGTCGCGCGATTCTTCTTTTAGTTCCCTGGTAGTGCACACAGATGTGGCTGTTCGAAACATGTTTCTCACAATCGCCCTCTTTGTGTGTGAAGGGTGGGAGGAAATGAACAAGGATGTTCTTGTTACTTGGCTTTCGATACCACTTTGTCAGGTAACCGCTACTTGATAGGTTTATTTGGACGTCCAAAAACGGAAGCCAGTTTTCTCTCGGTTTCTCCCGGGTGAACTATCGCTACCGATTCCTGTAGACTTGCCCTTCTTAAGCATCGTTTTATAGCTACGCTTACTTCATCGCTTATAAAAGGCAACATAAACAGGATTTTCTTTTGGCCAAGTGTTTCGCGTGGGCGCGTCGTTCTTCTTGTAAATTGTCAGGAAAACATGCGCGAGATACCTCACTGATCCGCGATCAATTCTTCATCTGACCACATCTCAATGAGATGTTAGCGAAGAAACCTCCTAACGGGCACCTTGTGATTTCCGACTGGGTTTTCCATAATTTACCAGCCACTTAGGAAAATGGTGCTGTTCAAATACTTTTATCAAATATGACTTGTCCTGTTCTTATTTGCCGATAAAATGAGTTCTTTTTCAGCTTACGACTGAGTCGAAGTAGTCAGTTTCCGTATGAGTTTGCTAAAAATAACTCCATCAAAAGTAACATAATTTTTGTGTTCATCCACCCTAGCTGACTGCTGTAGTAATTTGACTCTGCAACAGCGCATCACTCCATCGCTATCTCCATCGAAGGAGTTCAAAAGCCAATGCCAATTATATGGTCTGCTTTCATGGAGCAATGGCCCAACAACGAGTTCCACGCAGCTTACTTAG